GACGTCGCGCTCGTTCATGACGACGTTGAGGTGGGAGCAGAAGCCCGACGTGGCGATGAACCAGTTCGGATCTTCGACCACGTCGGGCACGACAGGGACAGGGTTGAACGGAGCAAACAGTGGCCCGCGTTCGGTCAGCAGCGCCAGGTTTGCTAAAAGAGTGAACATGCGCGCTTGTAGGGTATGCTGGCGGCGGGCAGCCGCTCGGGTTCGATCACTCTGGGCTAACCTCGAAATCTGCACCTTGGATGGCTGCGCTCCCGGTGTCCCAGCCATCCTTAGCACGGATGGCTGCGAAACAGGGAGCGCAGCCATCCAAGGTGCAGATTTCGAGGTTAGCCCAAAGTGATCGAACCCGAGCGGCTGCCCGCCGCCAGCATACCCTACAAGCGCGCATGTTCACTCTTTTAGCAAACCTGGCGCTGCTGACCGAACGCGGGCCACTGTTTGCTCCGTTCAACCCTGTCCCTGTCGTGCCCGACGTGGTCGAAGATCCGAACTGGCTCATCGCCACGTCCGGCTTCTGCTCCCACCTCAACGTCGTCATGAACGAGCGCGACGTCAAGGGCAACAAGGCGGCTGGCGACAGGGACGGGCACTTTGTCGCCGACATCTCCTTCAACTACTACCCGCAGACGGCGATCAAGTTCACCGACTTTCCGCACCACCTCGCGAGCACCATCGAAGGCGACAAGGACGAGGCGGACGCGCTCGTTTCGAGCGACTGGGACCACAAGAACATCGCGCTGCTCGAGCCGACGTCAACGTGCAGCGCCCACGAGCAGAGCAGTCAGGCGTGGGGCATCTCCGTCTTCAAGGTGGAGGAGCACCGCCACTGCACCGATGACGAGATGGTGTGGGAGGGACATCCGTGCGTGCACTACACCGGCTACGTCTCGGCGGAGACGTCCAACTTTGTTAACAAGAACCAGGAGCGCTTCGTCTGCCAGCTGTTCGTTGACTCCTCGTCCGCCCCGGTTGGTGCTACTGCCGGCGGGGTGTGCGAGGGAAGCAGAACCACTCTGGCAGAGGCGCTTTTGCAGGGGTGTCACAGGGTGGTTGGCGATTTGATCGACGGCGGCGCCAGCGGAGACGTCAACCTGCCCAACCTGCGGGAAGTGGACGGAGACATCAAGGTGCGCGCCTCTCCCCCTCCCGCCCCTCCGCACTGCCTCCCCTCCCGCACACCCCTTCACCGCACCGCTGCCCAGCCCCGCTCCCCTCGCCACCGCGACAGGTGGAGTTCAACGACAAGATCACCTCTCTGACGATGAACAACCTGGGGCGCGTGGGCGGAGACACCGTCGTGCGCGCCTCTCCCCCTCCCGCCCCTCCGCACTGCCTCCCCTCCCGCACACCCCTTCACCGCACCGCTGCCCAGCCCCGCTCCCCTCGCCACTGCGACAGGTGACGCTCAACGACAAGATGACCTCTCTGACGATGAACAACCTGGGGCGCGTGGGCGGAGACATCGTCGTGCGCGCCTCTCCCCCTCCCGCCCCTCCGCACTGCCTCCCCCTCCCCTCCCGCACCCCCACACCGCACCGCTGCCCAGCCCCGCGCCCTCGCCACCGCGACAGGTGCTGGACAACTTTATTCTTCACACGGTTTCCCTGTGAAGAGAAGCGGAGAGAAACGGACATTTCAACTCGGTGTCGCACCACCAGCCCGACGCGCACGACAGTTAAATTCTTAACCCTTTTGCTTCATAGTGGTCATGGTGACCAAATCTCGATATATCTCCAGTCGTAGCGGTGGAACTTTAAAACGCCGCTCGGTAAATATTTAGCCATATATGAGAGGATTACGCCACAGTGTCGTTTGAGTCGACAGTAAATCTCCCACAGCCCACGTAAATCCGTCTTTTTCAGGCACCCGGAGCCCGCCGCGGCCGCTTCTACGCCGGCGAAGCACCATCAAGCTGCTGTACGGCCCCGGCATCGCCTCCCATGGCTTAGCTCTCAGTCAAGATATTGTGCACATGGGTGGCCTCTACAATATACTCACTGACACTGAACCTCCCAGAGCTCGTCCCGGTCCGTCACGGCCATCCTCGTCCTCCGGCGGGCCCCCGGCCGGCCGGCCGCGGCGCGGTGCGGCGGCGTCACAAATCCGACCACAGAGCACCGGGACGCGGTCGGGCGATCTGAGGCCCAAGTTGCTCCTCCGTCTCTTTGCATCTCCCATAACTTTTGCGAATTTCAGAAGACAGTATGCAATCGTCACCGTTTTCTCGACAATCCCTCGAGCCCTCGTGGAATGCGATCAGCCGTGCACGGGCGTCCTGACGCTGGACGTTTCGCCCGCGATGCTGACCCTACGCTATCCGGAGCGCTGCACGGGCGCCGCTTTCGACGCAGCGTACGCCGACGCCGGGAGAGCCATCCGAGCACACCAGGCGAACTTCGGCTTGGTGCACGACTTGCGCCGTGTCCACGTGACTTCGCTGGATGGCCGCGCGGTTCTGGACGACACGAGTGACATCGCGGCCGCGGGGCGCGTGCGCTGCGTCGCCTTTATCATATCGGGCGGAGTACTGTGGCGGAGAAGCTTTGCGTTTGCAGTTCGCAGCCTATCCCCTTGTCCAGCCTGCACGAGTGTTCACCGACATCGAGTCGGCGCGCCTCTGGGTCAACGACTGCGTGTCGCAGTCGGACGGACAGGTCGCGCCGCCAGTGCGGCAGAGCAGAACAGCCGACTGAATGCAGGGAGTGAAATCTCTATGTACTGTGGTCGTGAGCTGTTCTTCACCTTTCTACCTACCTAGGAATTCGAATTCCTACCTACTGTGTGACAGACTCGGCTCACAGCCCAAAATTTGACGATTTTCACGGACGGAGTTTCCCGGGAAAATAGAGAAAAGGAGAGGGTGTTGTAGAGAGAAAAAAAAGGGGGCAGGTACACCAAAAAACGGCCGAGGATGACTGCACTCCAGCGGCTGCCCTTCTGCTCCGCACTCTGCTTGCGCAGCCGCTCCTGCCGTTCAAACTCGACGACGCTGAGTGGTCATCGACGTGGCTGCTCACGACAGTTGCCGACTACTGACACACACTCACTCACACACACACGCAGACTGGCTCCTCGTACCGTCTGTCGCGCCCATTACTGTACCTAGGTAAGGGATCTTGGCACAGCCCACATACCACCATCGACGCCACCCTCCGCGTCGCCGAGGAGAAGCCGCGCGAGGTGTCTGCGGTGGCGGTCCTGATCACCCCATCGTGTGCCCGCCCATCGTGGGCCGCGATCCGACTCGATCCGAGACAGCGGTCGGCATGCGAGACAAGTCGGCGGACAGCGGCATGCGAGACCGTCTCCACGCTCTGCCTGTGCGGCGTCATTGTGGCCACCGACGGCTGGCGCGTAGGAGGATTGTGGGCGGCTCTGTGTTGTGTGCTTGGCAGCGCCTTCGCCTGCTTGTGGGTGGTCCGCCGACTGCTGCAGCGCGGCACGCTGCGCCTGGCGGGCAGCGCGGACGGCGCGTTTGCGTACGATTGAGGAGGATCCGCGAGCGGCACATGACATTCCCCGGTCAGCAGTTTTTGTACAAACGAGAGGGGGGGGGTGCGGCGGCCTGTGCTACGTACTTAAAGCCGTACTCTCTCTATCTGTCTATCTCTCTCTCTGTCTCTCCTGCTGAGTGCTGAAGAGCAGTGCTGTGTAAATTATTCTATAAAATAGCAATCTCAAACCATAGACGTCGGGGACGAGACAGCCGGCGCCCCAGCCGGAGCCGCGCCCGCCTCTCGCGGGGGGCGACATCCGGGGGTGGAGGAGGAGGCCACGGAGCTGCGCCGGGGGAGCGCTGCCGGCTCGCCGCTCACCCCGCGCTGCACCCACCACCCGCTGGCCTCCTCGCTCGTCGCGGAGAGGGTGCTTGTGGAGGCGGATCGCCGGGCGCCGCCCATTGGAGCGAGCGAGATCTCCAGCCCGCTCACCGCCTCGCGGGCGAGGCCCTGGCTGTGCGCCGGAGAGAGGTGCTGCGCCTCCGCGTCGCCGCCCGTCCCACCGGCCGCCGAGCCGCCGCGAGTCTGCCGCGCAGCCGCTTGCCGCTTCCGCAGCCGCGTGCCGCTGCGGATGCTCGCGAGCGCGCCCCCTCCCGTCGCGTTGCCGCTCGCGCCCGCCGCGCTGGCGGCGGCGATGGCGGCGGGGCTGGCGGCGGTGGGCGTGCCGCGCCGGTGTGCGGTCAGAGTCCTGCACGCTTGCAGCTTCGCGCGGGTGCGCTGCCACGCCGGCGACAGGGCGGCGAGCATCACCTGTTCCTCGCCCGCCCGCCCCTCCTCGTCCTCGCCCTCGCTGTGCGCCGCGTCAAACGCGGCGCTCACGCCGCGCCCGCCCACGACGCCGTCCTCGTCCTCCTCGTCCTCGTCCTCCTCCCCACTAGGGCGCGTGAGGGGCGGGCCGGGAAGCGCGCAGCAGGCGGGCGAGCAGCAAGTCGCGAGGGCGGAGGAGGCGCCGCGGTAGAGCCGCCGTGCGACGGCCGCCGGGTAAGCGAGCGGCCCGCCGGGGAAGAGGCCAAAGAGAGTGAAGAGGAAGATGCCGCCCGCGTTGTTGAGGACGGAGGTGACGAGAAGCATGTGCGCCACCGAGCCACGGACATCGGCGCCGGCAAAGGCGGCGACGGCGACCGAGGCGGAGGAGAGGAGGCGCGTCGCGCCGATGATGGCGAGGATCTGGCGACGCGGGCGGCGGCGGCGCTTGCAGCTGGGCGCAGTGCGACGCGTGCGGCAAGTGGCGGCGGCTCGTGGGCGTGAGCAGCGACGATTTGCCCGCGCAGTGGGGGTGTAGGATGAACGGCGGTCTTCTGAGGTGTGAAGAGACGCTGTTCACACCTCGACGCGGAGGGAGAAGGAGTGGTTAATTAATTAAGGCGGTGATTAATTAATTAAGGCGCACCTCGACGCGGAGAGAGAAGGAGTGGGTGGACAGCTCGCCGTGGCGCGAGGATAGGTCGGCGGGCACCAGCGACCCCTCCGCTCGCGCGCGGTGGTAGACGATGGTTGCGAGGCCGACGGCGTGCGCCGCGGCGAATGCGGCGTAGACGACGCCGGCGACCAGCGACTGCGAGGCGGCGAGGGCGCCGTGCGCCACAGAGAAGGGGAGCCACATGTGCACAAACGGCTGGTCGGGGTAGTCGAGAGCCGCCCAAGGCAGCGTCATCGACAGCCCAAAGCAGCCGACCGCGCACACCTCGCCCGCCTCAGACCCCCTCGCCCGCCCTCCGCTCCCTCTGCCGCGGTCGGCGGCGGCGGAGCTGTGCTGAAGCTTGTCGTGCGCCGCCACGCCGACGACCGACGCCCGAGAGCGCAGACGATCGGGGCGGCGCATCGCGGGCGCGCTGGGCAGCATGTCCCGCGAGCTGCCGCCCAGCCGCGCGATCTGCCAGCTTCCGGCGGCCCTTCGCGGCAGCGTCGCGGGGCTGCTCTGCTCAGCAAAAGAGCGCTGGGCTCTCTTCTTCCGCCACTGCGACGCGATCAGCGCGGCGCGCGCCTGGCGCATCGCCTCGACCCGCGCTCGCTCGCGCCGCTGCGAGAGCGAGCGGAGGCGCAGCGCCTATCCCAGCCACACGCACCCCTGTCACGCGCGCTCCGGTCACACCGCCCCTGTGAGGAGGGGAGCGAAGGGGGGGGGTCGCCTCCCCCACCACCACCCGCAGCAGCGCCGCCTCCTTGGCCCATCGGAGCACGTTGATCAGCTCAAAGATGAGCCGCTCCCGCTCACTCGCCGGCTCGTGCCCGCCTCCTGCGTCCGGCCCCTGCTCGTACCCCCCGTGGGGCGACGAGGGCGGCGGCGGCGGCGGCGAGAACCAAGCCTGCGTGAGGAAGTCACCAACGTCAGGTCGCGAGTCTAACCCACCCGCCACCCCAATCCCCCTAACCCCCCCCTTAACCCCCCCTACCCCCCCTACCCCCTTTACCCCCCCCCCCCCCCCCACACAAGCTAGCCTTGTGCCGTGTATTCAGAGCACCGCGTGAGTACACGGGCTACGAGTACCGTGACTGCAGCGGAGTACAGCCGAGTAGGAGTCCACTCGAGCTCGTCGGACACACACAGATCTGACTCCGCATCTAGAGAGAGCCACACCGGGTCGGCGTCAAAGAGGGCGGCGACGTGGCCGAGGCCGAGCCACCGCCACTGCTCGCCGATCTGTGAGTCAGACACTGCGCGGGACGGGTCCGCGGCTAAGTGCCTCGCCTGCGGGACACGTGCCGGGGACGTGTCACGGAAAGGCCAGCTCTCTGCGAGCTTCTGACAGATCGTGTCCGTCGCCTGCGGGACACGTCGGGGAGATGTCACCACACGGACATCGGGACACGGCAACCTCCGCCCGCCGCGTCGGGTGTCACCGACGCGGCCAGGAAGAGGTACGCCGTTAGGTAGCCGAGCTCGAGCGGCAGCAGCAGCAGGAGGCGGCGCAGCGGCGGGCGCCACCAGGCGCGCCACCAAGCCGCCGACGAGACGAGAGCGGCCGTGAGCGCGAGCGAGAGCGCGCGCGTGCACTGCAACGCGGCGTGGCTCACGCGCCATGCAGTGACCTGAGCGCGGGACACGCCGAGGACGTGTCACGGACGTGTCCAACCTGAGGCGGCCCCACGCGCGCCGCCGACCTGCCCCTCCCCGCTCACGAAGAGGATGGCCGCCGCGAGCAGGAGGAGCGGGAACGCGACCACCTTACCCACGTTGAGCGTCGCAGAGAGCTGCAGCAGCTGCTGCGCGCTCGGAGCGTACGCCGACACCTACGCGGTCGTGGCGCGCGCGTAGAGATTGCGTGACGCCTGCATCAGTGCGGCGCGGCGCCCGACGCCAGCACGAGCGACGAGCCCGCCGCCGGCAGCACGCCAAAGGTGAAGCCAAACTCCTGCGCGCTCCGGTCGCCGCCGAGGGCAGCGACGATCCCCTTGATGATGGCAGGCAGTACGAGCGACTTGAGCAGCGCCAGCGCGAGGGGGAGCCACGCCGAGTCGAGCCGCGCCAGCTGTGAGAAGGAGCCGACGCTAGCCGTGCCGGCGAGGAAAAAGACGCCCGGCGCGAACGCGCCCGCGAGCAGGCTGACGACGTCATCCAGGAAAAAGGGCAGCGGCGCGCCCTTGAGGCGGCCGAAGGCGGCGTTGTACGCCACCGCGATGACTAGCGCCTGCACGAGCCGTCGGCTGTCTGGGAGCTGTCCCGGGGCGGTCTCGGAAGTGTCTACGAAAGGTTGGTAGCTTCACTTTAGTTCATCTGAATCGATTCCACGCGAGCGCCTGCACGAGCCGGTTGCGCTGCAGCCCGCGCACCACGCAGCCGATGATGGCTCCTCGGCTCGGGCGGTGTGCCAGCCCTCGCGGCGTCGCGTCGCGCCACGCCGACGCCGAGGAGGATGAAGGCGAGCACCTGTCCACGGGCCGGCGGCGTGAAGAGGCGCTGCCGACGCCCGCCGGAGGGGGGAGGGAGGGTGGCGGCATTGAAGAGCATCATCTGGAGAGGAAGAGCAGGAAGACTTGCTCGAGAGGAGGAAGAGCAGGGAGACTTGCTCGGGCGGGAATAGGGCGCCCATCACGGGCAGCCCGAGCCCGAGCTCGTCGCCGTTGGTCGTCAGGATCGCAAACATGCCGCCGTTGATCTCGCTCTCGCCGGGCGGGACGAGGGCGCCTCGCCGCGCCACCTGCCCCATCACAATTGACGCCGCGACCATGCAGAGCTTGCCGACCAGCGTGCCGACGAGGAGCGACAGGTCGACCGCCCCAAAGTCGAGCGCAGCCACCGCGCGAAAGAGGATGGCTGGCAGCGAGACGCCGCCGATGAAGGCGCCGACGCCCGCTTCGGCGGAGGCCGGGAACATGCGAGTCACCTTCATGTAGCCTCCGACCAGCTGCAGGAGGACCGTGGAGAGCAGCACCCTCCCGAGCGCGAAGATCACTGAGGCCGTGCCAGAGGCGGCAGCCGTCTCGGACGCGTCGGCCGCGTCGTCAGACGACATGGAGCGTCGTTGCACACACACCAGCCAGCCACAACCGTATCTCACGAATACTTGATTTTTCCAGGCGATCGGATTTTTCCGCGCCTCGAAATTCCTAACAATCGCCTCGCCGCTCCACAATGCCTTTCTCCGTTGCCTCCAGCCGCGCGGCGCCATCGTCCTCGATCCAGTGCCGGCCTGTGACAAGCTTGGCAGCTCGCGGATCGACGATCGCCACGAGCTGCTGCCCGGCGACCGCCGCTCGCCTTCGACGACAGTCCTAACAATCGGCGGTGAGCGGCACCTCCTTGGCCCAGCACCGGTGTTGTCACGTCTCAGCTGCTTCATTGCCATGTCCTGTTATGGCGGAGACGCGCTGATAGCATTCCTGTGCACGCAGTTGGACCTGCACGGCCATCGGGTGCGTGGCGCAAAAAGACCTGTTTGCGCTGTCTTCGATATCAGCGGCTACATGCGCTGCTGCGCGTACCTGTGACGCACACATGTTGATCACATCCATATACCTCACTAACACACAGCTGGCGAGCCTTGCTTCCCTCGTCTGGCCATGCTGTGCATCATCTCACCGTATGCAGCCGTATACGCCCACGGTGCTCACAGGGTCGGGCGTCACGGTGCTCGTGGCAAGCATCTCCGTCACTCTTGTGACTTGTGGGCTTGGTGGTGTTGCCTCCGGTGCTACTTCTGGCTAGGGTGCCAATGGCGCGACGGGAGGCGGCCATTGGCGCCACTACAGCAACGATTGTTAGGCCGTGGAAAAATCCGGAATTCGTGCCCCGAACCGGCCGACACGTGGCCGCATATATGTGTATATACCACGTCCGTATGGGCTGCACAAGCCAAACCACGCTCATCACAGCTTGCCACAGTGTGGCCCCTGGCAGTGGTAAGCCATTCTTGGTGTACCAGCTCACAGGAGGGCCGCTTGAACACGATTGTTAGACGGCGTGAAAAATCAAGTATTCGTGAGATATGTCGCACGAGAAGAAATCTCGCTGATATCTAAAATTCTTTTGCGCGTCCATTGACGATCCCTTGTGTGCGGAACATCAAGCGGTACATCGAGCGACGGGGAGGCATGCCGTGCGAGCATGGCAAGCTGCGGAGCAGGTGCCTGACGTGCAGCGGCTGCGAGCATGGCAAGCTGCCGAGCAACTGCTCGACGTGCAGCGGCTGCGAGCATGGCAAGCTGCCGAGCAACTGCTCGACGTGCAGCGGCTGCGAGCATGGCAAGCTGCGGAGCAACTGCTCGACGTGCAGCGGCTGCGAGCATGGCAAGCTGCCGAGCAACTGCTCGACGTGCAGCGGCTGCGAGCATGGCAAGCTGCGGAGCAGGTGCTCGACGTGCAGCGGCTGCGAGCATGGCAAGCTGCCGAGCAACTGCTCGACGTGCAGCGGCTGCGAGCATGGCAAGCAGCGGAGCAGGTGCTCGACGTGCAGCGGCTGCGAGCATGGCAAGCCACGGAGCAGGTGCTTGACGTGCGTCGGCTGCGAGCATGGCAAGCAGCGGAGCAGGTGCTTTACGTGCAGCGGCTGCGAGCATGGCAAGCCGCGGAGCTTGTGCTCGACGTGCAGCGGCTGCGAGCATGGCAAGCCGCGGAGCAGGTGCTCGACGTGCAGCGGCTGCGAGCATGGCAAGCCGCGGAGCAGGTGCTCGACGTGCAGCGGCTGCGAGCATGGCAAGCCGCGGAGCAGGTGCTCGACGTGCGTCGGTGTCTGCTACAAGGAAGTCGACGCGACCGTCCTCGCGGAGCTCGGCAGCCTGCCCGTCGCGTCGCCGCCGCCGTCGGACGCGCTCATCAACCTCGGAGGCTCGAAGCTCAAGCTCAGTTCGCCGCTCCGGCTGAGCTTGCGCGCGCGGCCCGAGGCGGCCGTCCACGGTTGCTGCGTCGCGTCGCTCGTGCTCAAGGGCGACTTCGCGGCACTTGGAGTGCAGTCATCGCGCCCGTTTTCTTTTTTGGTGTGAGGTTTGCAACTCGCACCCCGTCTGTTTTCCTTTCCTTTTTCCTCTACAACACCCTCTCCTTTCAACCAAACAAATCTCTCTCTCTCTCTCCTTTCCTATCTATTTTCCCGGGAAACTCCGTCCGTGAAACAACCCCTGCCTAGACTAAAGAGTACCCCTGCCTAGACGGAAACTCCGTGTGGGGGCCCGTGAACCAGGAAAAGGGTTGCCGTGAAAAGCAATCAAATTTTGGGCTGTGAGCCGAGTCTGACTTGTCTGAGGCTGGTTTGGGCCCAAAATCAGCCAAATTTAGGCCAAATCGTGAAAATGCAAGAAAATCTCCCTCTCTCTCAAAATGCCGGGACTTTTGCGGAGAACCCGTGTATGAGAGAGATTTTTAGCAATACCATTATGTGATGTTACAGGTGGGTTAAGAGGGAGATGTGCGCGAGCTGCGGGACCACCGGGACGGCAGGCGGTTTGCGACGCGCCGCCACTTTTGGTGACTTTTGGGACGCGCGTCGATCGGCCGAGATTCGGCATGGCAGGCGAGGGTGTCGCGGCCATGATCGTGGCTGCTGACGCCGGCGACAACCCGCTGGCGGACCGCCACGAGGACTTGAAGGCGGCGGCAGAGCGGGAGAGGAAGGCCAAGGTGGCGAAGGTCGCCTCGCAGGCGACGAACGCGATGGCGGCAGTGCGGGCGCAGCTCGATTTGCGGGAGAAGGGGGCAGCAGACAAGGCGGCGAACAAGGCCAACGACGACGCGGGGGCGCCGGTGAGGGCGTCGTCTACGATGCTCGAACGAGTGTTCGCTGCCCGCCTCGACGGTCCGGACAAATACGTCGTGGCTCGACGAAAGGAGCGAAAGACGGCTGCTGGGGCTGGCACTGCTGCCGATTTGTTGGCGGGTTTGGAGAAGATGACGGACTCCACCGTCAAGATGGCGAGGAGAGACGGCGCCGACGGCACCACGGTGACTGCGGAGCACAAGGCGCTGCTGGATGACGTGGCGGTGGAGCAGGGTCCAATACCAAACAACTCTAACACTCACACGTCATTTGTAGAATGGGCGAGAAACTGCGAAGAGAGATAGGAAGAGGTAGACGCCCCGAGGGTGGGCGACGGCTAGCACCACACTCCTCTTGAGCACTTTGAGCACTGGATAGGGTCGATTCCGCGTGGTACGGGCACAATACCAAACAACTCTAACACTCACACGTCATTTGGGGCCTGGAGCATGTTTGTTTCTGAGTCTGAGAGCCAGCTCTGGTCTGGGGCAAAATCTGAGGCAAAATTGAGGAAATCGGCACGATACCCAGGCGGTCGCAGGGTATTTTCCAGGTATACCCGGGTTTTTCCAGGTATACCCGCAAAATACCCGGTATTTTGCCGATTTGGCTGATTTTGGGCCCAAACCAGCCTCAGACTCGGCTCAGAGCCCGGAAAATTTGAGGTTCCCCGGGAAAATAGAGAAAAGGAGAGGGTGCTGTAGAGAAAGGAAAGGAACAGAGACGGGGTGCGAGAGGAAAAGCTTGTTCAGCCTAAGGCGTGGCGGCCCGCCCCTACCTGCCTATGACGCTATGTGCCATGTGCGTCAACGGGCCGCCTCGTGCGTTCAGCCGCGATTCTCCCGCTAGAAAACACGCCCTCCCTACCTACCTATACCTACCGAGAGAGAGAGAGAGAGAGAGAGAGAGAGAGAGAGAGAGAGAGAGAGAGAGAGAGAGAGAGAGAGAGAGAGAGAGAGAGAGAGAGAGAGAGAGAGAGAGAGAGAGAGAGAGAGAGAGAGAGAGAGAGAGAGAGAGAGAGATTTAGCAATACCAAACAACTCTAACGTTTTTGTACTGACGTTTTTGTTTTGTTCCTACCTATCCATCCAGCCAGTGGAGGCGCTGTGGCATCTCAACCCCGCGCCCAGCTTGAGCACTTGAGCACTTGAGCACTGGATAGGGTCGATTCCGCATGGTACGGGACCCCTCGATCGTCTCGCCCTCCCTCACTGGTGTGTTCATCCTTCATTGGGGGGGGTCATAACAAACTCGGTACAGGATCGAGCTTAGGGGACCCCTAGGCTTAAAAGGGTGGGCCCTGGGGCGCCTGCGGCTTAAACGGCTTAAAACCTGCCCAGCCCGGGCAGGTTTAAGAGCTGCTGGGCCGCCAATTCCTTAAACGGTCTTAGACGCTTAAACGGTGCGGGAGAGCTCCCGAGGTCGATGGTCCGGGAGGCTCCCGGTAGACACGCCGGAGGCCGGGAAGCTGGCTACATACAGTCAGCTAGCACGCGTCCCTTATGCGAGTATGGCTCCTGCCAGTGCACCAGACTTACAGATGTGTCTTCAGAGGCGGGTTTGTGCCTAATAGGCCTTCCGATGATCGTCTGACGGGCGCGGGGCCCGACCTCCCCTCCTAGCCTTTTTCAGCCGCGGCCCCGCCACCGCCTCGTCTTCTCTGTCCGATTCTGTCGCCACCACCGACGGTGATCCCATGCCCGACTCCTCGGGCGAGGGCAGCGGCATTAGATCGCCACGCCGCCCCTCCCCGGGAAGTGGGGCCAGCTCACTTCGATCGAGGACTCGCGCCCGCCCCCGCGGTCTCTCTATCGTCCTCGGCTCGTCCGTACGTCCCGACTCTACTCGCAAAGGCCGCGCCAGCTCATCTCTCACCCTCTCCGACAGCTGACCCCAAGCCCCCCCCGGGGCCCTCCGGCCTCGGCCCCCCGGCCCGCCGGCGGAACCGTTATCGCATTGCGGCAACTCCCCTCCCCCAGCTCCTCCTTCCGGGTACTCCAGCCTCCGGCGGGGCGGTTCCGGATCCCCCAGGTTATTCCGATCGGGTCCGTACGGCCCCGCTGGCCGCGGGGGTAGAGCTAATGCCCGCTTTCTCGTTAGTCCTCCTCTAGCGTCGGCACACGTCGCTTGCCTCTGGCGCCTCCTGAGCCCACGGCCTCATGCTGCCTCGACTGCAAGGCCCCTCCGCGCTGACGCTGCAGGGAGAGCTCGTGCTGCGCATCGTCGCCGCGCAGGACATCGCGAACCCACCTTCCGGGAGCGCGCTGGGCCAGCCGACCTGGCTTCTGCAGCTTACCGACGGCGCCGAGTGCTGCACCGCCTTTGAGTGGTCGCCGCTGCCGGCGCTGCACGAAGCGGGCGCGGATCAGCTCCTCGCCGTCGGCGCCGCGCTACGCCTCATCAACTGCCGCGTCTCGGGTGGCATCCTCCTGCTCGAGCCCGCGACGACATCGCTGCTCGGAACAGACGACTCCGCCGACGCACCGGCAGCGCCTCCCGCGCTGGCAGCCGAGTGGCCCGAGTGCCTGCTGGCGGCGGCGGCCGGCGGCGCGAAGCCGCCGCGTTTCGAGCACTATCGCGCCACGGGCTCGGCCTCCGCAATCGACGACTCGCCTGCCATCCTGCCGCCGCCGCCGCGGCCGCTGCCGCCGCCGCAGAAAGAGCAGAAACAGGAGACGCAGCAGCAGCAGCAGCAGCAGCAGCAGCAGCAGCCGGAGCAGCCGAAGCAGCCGAAGCAGCAGCAACAACAGTTGCGACAGCAGCAGCAGCAGCAGCAGCAGCCGAAGCCGAAGCAGCAGCTGAGGCAGCAGCAGCAGCAGCAGCAACGACAGCAGCAGGCGCTGCCGCCGCGACCGGCGGCCTCGCTGATCGATGAGGCGCTCCTGCAGCAGCTTCTCTCCACCGGCCTCTCCCCATCGCAGAGTTGCGCTCGCGGCTATGCGACCGCGTCTCTTCACACCTGCGGTTGTGAACAGGCCTCTCCCTCGCAGAGGTGCACGCGGAGCTCGGCTTGCCGCCCCCCGAGGCCACGGGCGGCGCGAGAGGAGGCGCGGCCGCGCGCGAACGAGAGGGCTCCCGCGGAGGGCGTGGCCGGTCGGGGAGGGGGGGCGCGAGGCCCGGCGGGCTGATTGGTCGAAAGCAACAGCCGTTTATGTAGAGCTCACCACACGGCTCTCGGCCGCGCATCGCCCCACCAAAAGTCACAGCGGCACATACATGCCTCATGCGACACCTCACATATATGCGGTCGCACGAAACACCTCCCTTTTCTTCTCGCGAGGGGGGGGGGGGGGGCATGTGCAGTGCGGGCAGGCTCCAGGCACACGCTGGTTCACGCTCCACGCAGGCCTCCGCGCAAGCCTCGACGGCGCTGCCCAGATTCCTCGGCGTTCGCCGCTGCCGCGGCCGGCCATTCGCGCCGGCCATGCGAAATCGTCGTCAGGACCAAGCTCTCGGAAGCGCGTTCGGAGACGTGTTATGGCCCTGCGACCGCGCACCCCCCAGGGCTAGGGCTCTCTAGCCCGTAACCCGATGCCAATCATCCGGCCCGCTGGGTGCGCTTCTCACTCCCCGGCCCTGGATGTGAGGTTACTAACTGCACTCCAAGTGCTCCAAGTGCGTTGGGTAGCGCTCAGGGTTGTAGCCCGAGGCACTTGCAGCACTTGGAGTGCAGTCGGTAACGTCACATCCAGGGCCGGGGAGCTCAGAAGCGCACCCAGCGGGCCGGATGATCGGTATCGGGTTACGGGCAAGAGAGCCCTAGCCCCGGGGGTGCGCGTTCGCAGGCGCCCGGATTACTCCAGCCTACCCTGGCGTCGGCGCCGGCTACAGCGTGGTCATGTTGAGCAACCGCTTCTTTATTGCAATATGCCCAGCCCCAGGACCGGAACAAAGAAGTATCTTTCTTTGTTTTGTCGATCGAGTGTAATTCATTCAGGATGGGGGCACCGGGCGTCGCCGGCTCCAGTAAGAACTTTTGGAAGACCTCAGCGCGACCCGGTGCAACCCTGATTTTGTGTGAGTTGATTCACAAAGGATAAAATAATCCTCAAGAAACGGCTTGGTCGGCCGTCCCGTATCTCATCCGCCGGGTGGTGCCGGTGTGTGTCGCACAACCGACTCGGTGCGGGCGCGCCGTGCGCCAGCACGTTCGCGATGTGGCGATTGACGAGCAGCGTCATCACAGCCGCCCTCCTCGCCGCCCCCTCCTTTGCGGTCGGCTCCAATACATCGGCAGCCCGCAAGGCTGCAGCTCGGAAGGCCGCACTCCATTCCACAAATCGGAAGGCCGCACTCCATTCCACAAATCGGAAGGCCGCGCTCCATTCCACAAAAGAGAAGTCCCGCCCTGTCAGCGGCTGGACGCCGCGCGAGCGCAGTCTGAGCAGTCAGTAACCTCACATAAAGATATATTACTTTTTTTTGTGGTGTACCACCTACACCTACACCTGTGTTAGTGCCAGTGCGCGCCTTCCGCGTGCCCAGTGTCGCGCCCCGGAACGTGTAATTTTTCGAAACTTGGAGCACTTGGATCCACCACCTTTAGCCTTTTGTCGCGGTACCTGGCGGTGACCGGGTGTACTAGCTACTAGATTGTAGACTAGAAGGTCTTAGAGGACAAAAGAGAGCCGTACGCGTCGTCAGGGGCGGGGAACCCGCAATTTGAGATGCTCTAGGTACTAGGAGATGCTGAGGGCATCTTGAGTTGCAAAAAATCCACTCTCCATTTTCCCTCTGCTTTTCGCATTTCTGCACACCGCATTCCATGGTCCGGGTGCTCGGCGTCGCCTGCTTGAGTGGCCTAAACGCACTCGCGGGAGCCAGAGAGCAAAGGTGTGCGCGAATTGAGGCTTCTGAGCAAGCCCAGGCAAGCCACAGGACCGGCCATGTGCGTGGGTAGTCGAGCGGTGGCCGGAGGCAGCCTCCAGGAGTGCCTCTCAGTTCGACACCTCGGTCTCGACCACGACCAGACTCGGAGCGGCACACAGCTTATTTTGCAAAAGCGAGGGGGTGACATTTTGACAATCGTCAGATCCGTGTTTTTTTGGGTCTTGCGGTACATACATCTCTCCGCTCGCCACCTCACGCTCCGCCGTCCGGCCATGGATGGTTCGATGGAGCTCGCGCGATTTCCATCGAACCATCCAACTCCGGTCACCGGGTCTGAACGCGCTCAGCCTCAGGAGGTAGAGGGAGCGGACCCTGAGTTGAGGAAATCGGGGGACGCGACCCACTTCGCCACAGACGGTCCCGCGCCTCGCCGCTATGACGGCCACACGACCGCAGCTCGTGTGCGTGTGGCCGTCTTTGTCCGGAGTGAATACTCCAACGCGCTCGTCGGTGACGGCGTCCCCCGATTTCGCCGCGCTCGGCGAACCTCGACAGCGCTTTCGGTGGCATGCAGCTCTTTGCGCCTGAAGCCTGGAGAGCAGCTCCTCTGCTGCTCATACGCTCTGCACAGTTGGCACAGCCTACTGTGCGGCTGCCACAGCTGTGACAGCGATGGGCTCGCCCTCACTGGCCCTCAGTCACTCGTGCTGCGGCTTGTGTGAGCGACACTGCTCGGCGACTGCCGGCACACTGTGAGACCATGGGTGTGAGGTAAAACCACGCTACCAGCGCTTGGTCACATCAGCCCTGAGGTCATATCCTTCTCCTCTGTTGATGGTAACACTTGTCTACTCGCTGGAGCCGAGCAGGAGGGCTTGGCGCACAACCCCTGTTCAACTCAGGGTCCGCACCCCGTACCAAACCGCGCGAATTCTGCACGCCTCGCTGCACCGCTGGCTTGACTGAATCAGGCAGCAGCAGGCTGCTGCTGCTGCCACAGCAGCAGTCTGCTGCGGCCCTAATACGCAAGTTGATGACTAGCAGCACTGCCGGGGGCATACGAGCCGCCACAGCCGGTGTGCGGCCGTGCACTGCCACCTGACCGCGGCTACGCACAATGTGCGCTCGCATTGGATGAGCCCTGCTGATGGACCTGCATCGCCTAGCTGCACGAGAGCAATGCCGCAGGCAGTGGCCGTGGCATACACTGCGAGCACACTTGGTGCAGCTGCGAGGTGCAGCAAGAGCACGTCGTTCCTGCCTCTGATGCCACTCTCGCGGCTTGCAGCGCGTCACTCGCGCATGCTCTCCAGGAGCTATGGCGGGCGCGTGTGTGGGGCTGTAGCCTGTGTTTGGCCGGTTCTGACCCGTTTACTATCAGTATCATGTCCGGGCCACAAAAAATCGCACACGGGTAGCGGCTCAGGGGCCCAGTAAGTCGCGGAATCGCCAAATGTCACAACCTCCGCGCCACCCAGGGCTGGACCTAGTCCACCGGACACACCTCCAACATCCTATCTGCTCGGCGATCCGGACCCGCGTATCTCACAAGATCCGATCTCTCAAGGGCCGCAGAATGTGTTGTGCGTGTCCATGTCCATGTGCGGTGCAGCACTCCGCCGTTCAGACTCACTCCGTGACGCCAAAGAGGGCGTTGAACTCCCCTCGTCGGTCACCTTCTCGCCCCCCTCCTGGAAGGCATCATCGGCAGCGCCGACATCGGTCGAGAAATCACCAAACGCAGCCTCGTCTGTCGCGGCGCCGGCCGGCCAAGCCTCGCTCGATCCCGAGGCGCCCTCACTGCCCCCGCCCCCCTCCTCAAACTCGCCCGCCCAATCGGGCGCATCGGCCGGCACAGCCGCCGGCCCGCCGCCGCCGCCGCCCCGCCCTCTGCCGCCGCCGCCACCGCCCCGCTCTCTGCCGCCGCCGCCACCGCCCTGCCCTCCGCCGCCGCCACCGCCCCGCCCTCTGCTGCCGCCGCCTCGGCGCCGCCCTCCCAACTGCTTCGACTGCTTGCACTCGACAAGGCAATCCATCCACTCGCGACAGCTGAAGTCGAACTTCCACTGACTCGATGCGGCTCGCGCCGGATTGTGAGCTCGGCGAGCGAGGTCGGAGAGCGACCTGGCGCACCTGTTCACGGGTGTGAAGAGACGCCGCGGGGCTGCGTTGCGTTTTTTCTCAACCCACGTGCCTCTGCACATCCGTTTTCTTGACAAAGTGGGTGGGTGGGTAAACGCTTCGTAGGCCCCGGATGGTGAGTGGGTGGCAGGGTGGGTGGGTGAGTGGGTGGGTGGGTGTGGGTTGTTTCGTTCGTTTCTCTCTCCCTTCGCGCGCGTCTTCGAGGCACAGCTCTCGTCGTTGCCACAGCATGTCGTTCCCTCGCACCGTGCCCACGGCACAAGCTGACCGAGATCGCGCTCCCCGACGGCTGCCGCGTGCCTCACGGTGCGCTCAACAAGTCGTCAGAGGGCGGACTGCTGTTACGCTCGACGAGTGCCACGCCGCTCGCACAGCAGCTAGAGTGGTTCAAGCGCGAGGCGACCCTCGGCTCCGCCGGAAGCATGAGGTGCAACATGTTCTCTGGGCGCCAGCAGACCACGCGAGCGCGCGAGCGCGTCTTGAACCGGACGCTCCATAGCAACCACAACCGGAACTAAGAGGGGGGGGTTCCGTGTTTTCTTTTCGGGTTTCGTGGGTTCCAAGTGCACTCACTTGGAACCGCCGATAAACCGAAGACGGTTGGCCCCGGGGTGGTTTCACTGCGCGACTAAATAAATAAATAAAACGGGCAAACTCTGAGACGAGATGGGATTGACTGTGGGCTTGGAACCACCCCCCAATTCTCCACCTCAGCTACGACACATGCGTGCTTTTTTCTTTCCTCCCGAGAGTTAATTGTGGTTTCGGAAAGAGAATGATGCAGGCGTCGCGGGAGCCCGATTACGTGGGAGGAATCCTACCAACCAGAGCAAGCAGACCCCAAGACGGTCTCATCGCGTGCACGGCCTACCCCCGGGAGTAGGGTAGGCGAAACAAATCTTACCCCTCGAGCGCTCCGATCGCCTCCGTCACCGCCGCCACGAGCCGCGACGCCTCCCCCTCGCTGCGCGGCCCGTCCCTCCGCCACCTCGCCGCGTCGTGGTGCCTCGCCGCGTTCGCCCAGATGCGCAGCGAGTGCAGCTGCCTCCGCAGCTCGGGCGGCAGGCCGCACTCGCGGTGCCAATAGTTGATGCGCTCCTCGAAGCCGTCGGGCGCCGCCGCAGAGCGCGAGGCGTACGCAGCGTCGAGGCGCGGCATCAGCGTGTTGAACGCCAGCAGCATGTTGCCCTGGATGCGCGCCTGCGCGTCGCCGCCCGTGCGCATGCCGCGCACCTGCACCGAGAGCGGCGAAGGCTCGTACCCGGTGGTGCGGGCGGCTGCCGCAGCGGCGTCTCCAGGTGCCGGCGCAGCCTCCTCCATTCCCGCCCCGCCTTGCGCGCTAGAGAGCAGCGCCCGGAGCGCCAGCAGCGCCTCGGGCAGCGTGCAGCGGTTGCGCAGGCTGTCGTGACAGAGGCTCTTCTGCCCGTCTCCCGCCTTGGCGAGGTCCTTGACAGCGCGCGCAGCAGCGGCGGTCCATCCCGCCGCCGCGTCTGCGACCTTGGACGCGTCGATGTTGGTCCAGAGCTCGTCGAACTCGTCCTCGCACCGGTCGGTGAGCTGCACCTCGGAGCGGCTGGTGAGGCAGACGAGGAGGGTGATGCCGATGGCGTAGCCGTCCGTCTTGCTCGAGTACTCGCCCCCCTTGATGATGGAGGGGCAGAGGTAGCCCGTGGTCATGTAAAGGGCGGCAGTCGAGCGGCAGCGGACCGACGCGTCCGGGCGCTGGTCCTTGGCGAAACCCGTGTCGGCGAGGACGGCGGTCAGCTTCTCGTCGAGCAGGATGTTGTCCGGCTTGACGTCGCGGTGCACGATGCCCTTTGAGTGGAGGTAGACGAGCGCCTCGGTCGCCTCGCACGCGACACGCACGCGCTGCCGCCACGTCAGCGGCCTCGGCGGCTCTACCATCCCCAGCCGCCGGAGCTGCGCCGCGCGGTCGGGATCCGAGATTCGCAGCCGCGCCTCGAGCGAGCCGCCGCGCATCAGCGGCGAGAGGAGGCAGACGCCGTCGGGCGAGAGGCAGTAGCCGAGCAGCGGCAGCAGGTGCGGGTGGCTCACCGCCTTGAGCAGCTTCACCTCGAGCTCTGCCCGCGACAACCCGCCCGACTGGCCCGACTTGGCCCGCTTGACGACGAGCGGCAAGTGGCGCAGCTGCGGCGGCGCGGCGAGGGAGAGGTGGAGGTCGGCCGACGCCTCGTAGACGCGGCTGAATCCGCCGCTGCCAATCAGCTTGCCCTCCGCAAACCCATCGGTAGCCGCGGTGAGGTCCGACAAGGCTATCTCGACGGGCCGAGCAACAGCCGCCTCTTCCGCCGCGGCCGGTTCGGAGGCAACAGACAGAGTTTCCAGCTTCGACTCCGCCGCGCTCACCTCCTCGGCTAAGGCAGGCAGCGCGCCCACGTGCGGCCTGGCGGCGGCGATGCCCGCTCGGAGCGCGGAGGGGCTGTCCGCAGTGTCGAGCGACTTGAGCGCGCCCATCGCCGCGCCATGAGCCTTGCGCAGCCGCTGGCTCTCCCGCTTCCGCGACTCCTTGAGCTTGTCGCGCGCGCGCCTCGCCGCCGCCAGCACCGCCGGGCTCGCAAGGCCGCTGCACGCCTCCAGCGCACTCGCTAGGCCGACGTACGAGCCAGCAGCCACGGCCTGCTGCAGCGCCTCGTCCGCCGCGGCGATGGCGGCTGCGTCAGCGGGCGGAGGAGATGGGGCTGGCGGTGGGGTTGGCGGCGCCAGAGCGGCGGTGGCGCTGGGGCCAGGCGCCGCGTTGTCTGCCTCGCCGCTGCCGCTCTTCTTCTTCTTCTTCTTGCCCTTCTTGCTCTCCCTGGCGCGCTCCTCCTTCTCCGCCTCCTCCTCCGCCAGCAGCGCCTCGGCATGCCGCGCCGCAGTCGCCTCTGCCGCCGCTCTCTCCGCCTCCCTCGCCTCCGCCCCCGCAGCCCACGCCGCCTCCCTCGCCGCCTTCTCAGCCACCGCCTCCGCCGCCGCATGCTCCTCGATGGCGCGCATGCACTCGGCGTGGCCCTTCTCCTTGGCCAGCTGCAGCGCTGTCTTGCCGTTCTCAGCGCGCGCAGCCGTGTCTGCACCCGCCCGCAGCAAGCGCCGCACGACGGCGGGGTTGCCGGATATGGCGGCAGCCATCAGCGCGGTGCTGCCGTGGCTGTCCTGCGCTTTGACCTCCCCGCCGTGCTGCAGCAGCAAATCGACCACCCGCTCCTGGCCTTGCAAAATGGCGTCAATCAGCGCGGTGCGGCCGTTGCTGTCCTGCAGGTTGATCTCCGCGCCGTGCCGAATCAGCAGCTCGACAACCCGCTCGTGGCCTTCCTGGGCGGCGGTCATCAGCGCGGTGAAGCCGTTGCTCTTCTGCAGGTTGACCTCCGCGCCGTGCCGCATGAGCAAGTCGATCACACGCTCGTGGCCTTGGAAGGCGGCGCCCATCAACGCGGTGCCGCCGTCGCTGTCCTGCAGGTTGATCTCAGCGCCGCGCCGGAGCAGCAGCTCGACCACCCGCTCGTGGCCGTAGAAGGCGGCACCCGTCAGCAGCGTGAGGCCGCTCACCTCGCCTACCTCGTACGTCTCGTCGGCCCGCCCGCCACCCTCGAGCCACTCCAGAACCGCCGCCTCATCGCCTCGATGAGCCGCTGCGATGACCTCGTCGGAGAATGCCGCGGCACCGCTCGACGCCCGCTCCGCCGCAGCGGGCGACAGATTGCCCGGCCGCACCCGCACGCTCTCGCCGCCGCCCTCGAGCGCCACCGCGTACCGCCCGCCCTCAAAGCTCCGAGCCACGCCCCGCTGCCCGTTCAGCTCGGGGCGGGAAGAGAGGCCGCTGAGCTCGACTCGCTGCCCGAGCAGCGGCGCGTCCACAGCTGCCGCTGCCGCGCCCGAGGAAGCGCCGCCCGCCCCTACCCGGCCCTCCGCAGCCGCCTCCGCTGCCTCAGTCAAGATCTTGACGCACTCGGCGTGGCCCTTCTCCTTGGCAAGTTGCAGCGCCGTCTTGCCGCTCACAGTGCGCGCCGCCGCGTCTGCGCCCGCCCGCAGCAAGCGCCGCACGACGGCGGGGCAATTCCAGTAGGCGGCGGCCATCAGCGCGGTGCCGCCGCCGCTGTTCTGCAGGTCCTCAGCGCCGTGCCGAAGCAGCATGTCGACCACGCGCTCGTGGCCTTGGGTGGCGGCGAGCGTCAGCGCGGTGAGGCCGTCGCTGCTCTGCTGGTTCACTTTCGCGCCGCGCCGCAGCAGCAGCTCGACCACCCGCTCGTGGCCGTATTGGGCGGCGAACGTCAGCGCGGTGCCGCCGTTGCTAGTCTTCTTGTCGACCTCCGCGCCGTGCCGCATCAGCAGGTCGACCACCCGCTCGTGGCCTGCCTGGGCGGCGAACATCAGCAGCGTGAGGCCGCTCACCTTGCCTCTCTCGTACGTCGCGTCGACTCGCCCGCCGCCCTCGAGCCACGCCAGCACCGCCTTCTCCTCGCCACGCTCAGCCGCTAGCACGGCCGCGTCGGTGCAGCTCACATCGTTGGTGCAGCTCATGGAATCTGCACGCGCCATATGTATCGTCTGGGTTGCGGCTCTAATGGGGTAGGGGTACGCTGCAAAATACTCAACTATGGCAAATCCTCACGCGTCACGGCTCTTTGAGGGGTAGGGGCCCCGTGACTTCTCTCGGTAGGAGGGGTCTAGGTTACCTCTACCTCTGAGGGCCTGCGGCCCTCTTGCCTTTACCTCTGGGCAGCCATGGGCCCCTTACCTCTACCTCTGAGCGACGGTGCCGTGATTTACCTGTGCGTGATCTCGCCTCGAGGATCTCGCGCGAGAGGCGAGTGATCTCTCGACACTCGAGTGATCTCGAGATGTTGAGATCTCGTACCTTTTTTTATTTCGCAGCCTCTGATGCTAGAATGAAACAAGCAAGCAGACACAACACACACACACACACACACACACACACACACACACACACACACTTCACACACACACATCTTTCTCTCGGGCCCACAGACATCCCACGGTCACGACAGCTGAGTACTCCATGTCATGCACCATGTTGCATGTGCGAGAACGCAGACAGACGGCAGAGTCCACAGAGAAACGACTTTGGGGTGGTTGGTTCCTTCCTCCACCGCACTACGTCTCTCGCCTCACGTGGCTCGTGGGTGTCTCGATGGCGGACAGCGAAATTCCAGTCAGCAGTCTGAGTCAAACAAGTGGAGGACGTGTGACACGTATAACATGCGTGCACGAGCACACATGTGCAGCTGTCACCCCATCACCACACCCCCTCGGCGGCGCAGGGCAAACTCGATGCAAGTGCCGTCCGAGTGCTGAATGTTGGGCTCGCGGTAGTAGATGCCATGCGTCTTGTTGATGGCGCGCATGAGCTTCTCGACCGCGGCCTCGGGAGCATCGGTCGAAGGCAGGTAGTCTCTCGAGCCGTGCAGCTCCAGCAGCACCTGCATCCAAGAGGGCGGGAGGCGTGCCCGAGGAGCGAGGTCCGAGGTGTGGCCCCCAGCGAGGGGTTGCCGCTGAGGGGGAGGTGTGCAGCCGAGAAGATCTTGTGCGGAGAGGACTTACTTGCAGCCGCGGCTCCTGCTCGGGGCGCAGCTGGTGGACGAGGGGCTCGAGGACTCGCACCCCTCGCAGTCGCTCTTGAGGATGTCCACTCTCCGGCCGCGGTAGGTGAGCCAGTCAGGCATGGGCCATGGCTCTACCCGCAACTCTCTCGCTGACACGCGCACCCCGTCGACCTTACGATGCGCGCTGCGGTCGCATGCCTCCCAAGTCATACGCCACGGCGTGCGATCTAGATTCAGCACACGCGCTTCTGCTCGCATACACTCATACAATGAATTGACATCTCTCATGAGTGCGAGATAGGGCTAGCAGTAGGCAGCTAGCCTGTGAGGAGGGCGTCCATAAACACCTCACAAGACCCCCCACACGGTCTCGTCCATGCCTTGCGGCTGGCGGCGAGATTGCTAGAGGCGGAGCCAGCCTGCTCTAGCCTCACATGTTACTTCCTGTCGTCTGTTGTGTTGTTGTGCCCTTGTTTGTTCCTTTGGCAGATGGCACCTTGGAGTGCTGGGGGGGGCGACAGCTCGGAGAGGAACTTGTGGAGGAGCGCAGTAAGCTGTGTGGGGTTGAGCCGCTCGCGTCCTCAAGCCAATCGTTGGCCCGGGTAAGGCGGAGGAAACGCCGCCTGAATTCGGAGTGGACCCGTCCACTCTGAGTGCCAAAATTGGCGGCAAGAAAAGGCTTGACGCCGACGGTCTCGAGGACGAGCTTCTGAAGCTTCGGCCGGACTCCAGCAATGGTGGAGCGGATGGCGGCCAAAAGGGCAATGGAAGTGCCACCAGCGCCACTGATCTTGGCGGCCTTCTCGCGGTAGACGGCAAAGAAGGGCCTGAGAATCGCCTCGGCGAAGAGGGTGTCGACCCGCTTGTGGCTTGAGGACGCGTTGGGAGACAACGATCTCGGCCACAATAGCAGACTGTTTCTCACTGACCGACTTGTGGACAGCTACGACCTGCGCAAAGTCGTCGGCGGTGGGGGTGACTGACTGTCGTTGGCGACGAACTCGAGCAAGTCGGAAAAGTCACGCGGCTTGAGCTGCTTCAGCTCGTGGCGCGCGCAGCGCACCGCATCGGGGATGGTGCAGCAAACGGTGGGCGCAATGTTATCCATGTAGACAGCGCCATTCGTGATGAAGAAGAAGCCGATGCCGTCGGTGTCTTGCAGTCGGCTCCATTCGAGGAGAGTGGCTAGGTTCGCCGCGAGCCCGTCGAGGGCGGTGGCCGGAACGAACTTGCACTCCGTCATCATTGCATCAGCACTCTGTTTAGCGCCTTGCAGGAGATCCCGAGTTTGGGAATGCTCCAAGTTTTTGGTGGGCGTGTCAGGCATGGCCTGAGCAGGGATAGCGTGTCGGGCTTCACAAAAGGGCTGACGCGACCAGTCAAGCCGCTGCCACGTGCAAGCCCCACCCGGCTGGCGGGTGGACCTGGGGGCGTGCCGCCCTGCTTGCTCTAGGTGAAACGTCTAAAGGACGAAGATGCACGGAGGTGCGACCAACTCAGCACGACGGGCGGAGATGCCAGGCACTAGACCAGCCAGGAAGGACTGAGAGTGTGAATGGAGGGACACGTCTCACGCGTGGCTCAGACGGCCACCACACAGGGATTTTAAGGAGAGGGGTGTGGTGCGCTAGCCGTCGCCCACCCTTGGGCGTCCGCCTCTTCCTATCTCTCTTCGCACTCTCTCGCCGATTCTCGCTGCCGCCCTATTCCCATATCGGCCGGCCCCCTTTTTTATCCAAGCCGCCGAGACTCGGGCGGCGGCCGCTTCCCGAGCACGCTCAACAAGCGCGGCGGCTCCCCAGCTCAGGCGCGCGTCTAGCTCCGCAGCGCCGACACGCAACAAGTCGCCAAGCCGCGATCAGCCCCAGCGGCTGCTCAGCCTGGGGCTCACCGACGGCTGCGACCGCCGACCACCCTCCCCTCGCAGGCACCGCACCGACCGCAGCGATGCCCGACGAGAATGTGACCGAGGGACTGTCCGGATCCAAGGATGGCGAGGCGGCGCGGCAAAAGATGCAGATCAAATCCTTCACCGCGTGGGTCAACCTGCACCTCAAGCAGGCGGGCATGGCCGTCGAGAACCTCAAGACAGACTTTGGCGACGGGATCAAGCTGCTGCGCCTCGTCGAGATCATCTCCGAGGAGGAGCTCGGCAAGTACAACCAGAACCCGGTGTCCAAGTTCCAAAAGGTGGAGAACCTCAACATCCCTCTCAAGTGCGGCCGCGCCCCTCCCTCTCCTCCGCCCTCCACCTCCGCCGTCAGCCCAAATCCTCTTCCGCCGAGCGCACAACGTCTCCGCATGCCGCACCGAGCGGCATGCAGCAGTCCGGTGCAGCGGCCGACGGCGATCCTGGCGTGGCAGCTTCCCCCGTCGCCTTCCCCTCCCGCCCTCCTCCCCCGAGAGCGGGCAGCAGTGGGAATCAGCCACCGCCGGCTGGAGCTCCTCCTTGCTCCAACACCATCTCCCTTGCCATCTCAGCCCGCCGACCCTCCTGCCTCCTCCCATTGCCGCCGCCGCCCTCGCCGCTGCCGCCCTCCGCGTCGCCCGTTTGCTACCGCCCACCACCTCGCTCTCCTTGCCGCCGCCCCCAGCACCGCCGCTCTGCCCGGGAGAATCCGAAAGAAAAGAAATGCCAACACTCCTTTCTTTCGCTGCCCGGCCGCCGGCCGCCAGCAGCAGCCACCCCCGGCTCTGTCACCCGAGAGAGAGACCTGTCGAGATGAGACATTAAGCGCGCCCCGGCCGCGCAGGTACATCAACTCCTTCCTCAAGGAGATTGGCATCCGCAACACCTACTCCGCCGAGAACATCATCGATGAGGTCGAAGCCACCGCACACGCACACACACGCACACGCACGCACGCACGCACGCACGCACACCACTCACCTCTCCGCCGCCGCCTCTCCTCCGCGTCCCGCCGCCTCTCTGCCTCCGCCCTCGCCACCACGGGTGGAGGCCCGCACACCCACCGCCGCCCCTCAGTCACGCCTGCGGTCTGCACGACAGAGGCTTGCTCCACACACGACGAGGGCGGAGCGTTGCAGCCTGCTGCATGCCGCCGCACCCCGCCCCTCTCACGCCGCCGCATCCCCTGGCGCTCAATCCGCCGCGCGCGGGGTCCGGAGTGTTTGCGGGGTACGGTGCCTGCCTGCCGCGTGGCCCACCCCCCCTCGCCGGGTCTCAGTCGAGAAAAGTATCCCCCAACTGCGCCTAGGCCGGCGCGGGGGCCACACAAGCGGGTGCCTGACGTGTCGCTCTACAGCCCAACATG